GTATATATGGCAGTAGAGGTGGTGAAATCTATCTTTAAACTAAGAGTCTCAAACTCCTTTAGTACAGTCTCCATCTTTGATTTACTGTGCCAAAAATTTCTAACTTGTAGATGTAGTTATGGTTTTGACGTCGAGAATATGGATGCGTCATTTGGAGTTATAAATACACCGTTGTCCTCATTCACTAAGGGGAACGGAGTCGGATTTGGTATGAATCACTACTAAATATTAGCTTTCACCTACATAATTAGAAACGGACTATTTGTTGTAAAGTTAGTACCCCTTCACCAACGAATATTTTGTGTCTAATATTGTTATTTAATACGTGTACAATTTACCAACGACATTTCTGTAGATGATGTAACTCAACCATTTTTTTTTTTAATAAAAAATGTATCAAGCTTTCATTTACGAATTTTCCATAGGTGAAGAGTACTTCATTTTACAAACAAAACTGTCATTGCTAATATTAATCAATTTTAATAATTAAAAAAAATCTACATTCACCTACGGAATATCCATAGTTGAAGGGGAATCATTCGGTCAATTTTTATTTTTTGTTTTTATACAAAAAATGTTAAAAATTGCTCAGGATTTAGTTCTGAAGCAAACCAATTGAACTCGTTCTATTTAGATTTTTACCTTGAATATTACATGTTTTTATAGGGGTAATTTGATTCTTTATAACTAGAAATGTCAACCTCTTGATTTTTATATCTTGGCATAAACTTAGATGGCATGTTTAATTTGATCCAAATATTATCGAGTGGATTATGATTAAATCTTAGAAGGATAGTCATTGCTTGTCTTTAGGTCATGTAATATGTGCGAGCTCAATGCTAAGAGGAAATGTTACAATAATCGTAAACATGGGGATATATGGTGAAGACAAAGCATGCAATTTATCGATCATAAAAATAACCAAAAGTTAAACAGAAAATAAGTTATTATTAATGTACTATTTGGATATCACACGAAAAAACGTTACAAGCTACAAACACACCAACACCAAATACATATCAAATAGTAAAATTATCTAAACTTTATTCCATAGCTTTGAAATTCTTTATATATTATAATAGAGTTGCATCCTGCTGCTCGATCCCAAGCACAAAATTAAGCTGCAGTAACTGAGATTTAAGCCTGCAAAATATAATAGCAAATTAATCTCGACGCTAGCTTCCACGACGGTTCTAGCCGTCGTCCAACATATTCTATGATGATTTTTAAGTGTCGCGAAAAGACGATAATGGCATAATGAACCAGATCAATGCATAATTACATAGAAGTGAAAATTCGACGCATAAAAATGAAAGCCGGATATAAATTTTTACCTTATATTTGACTTTCGGCATCAAACTTTGAGAGCATCAATTGGCCTCTTCCCTTGCTGAAATAAACGGAAATAATTACCAGTGTAATCGATTATACTATTGTATAATATGGGATTTTTCTCATCAATAAGCCCTTCAGCTGGTTTAACTTCACTGGTTGCGTCAGGAGTGAAGAAAACAGCAATTGTCATCCTCTCTCTTTCTCGATTTGTTGCAACCCTATGAATTGGGCTCTTGAATATACCATTAGTCATTATCTGCAGGCATCATTAAAGGGTCGAACCACTGTCGAGTTAGTGGTAAAAAACAACAAAATTTTGACTTGGAACGGTGGGTTCTTAGGTCATTTGAATGGATTTTAGTTCTTCATTTTTGAGCTACAAATAGTTCTACCATTTTTTCTTTATTATTTTTTTATTTTTTAATGATTGAACTGGCCAATTCGATCAGGTTTGATGACATTGGAAAAAAAAAAGTGAATAGACAAGTTATAAACATGTTAGGTACACGAATGAACACAATTAAACAAACTTCCCTGAAAAATTATTGTCCCCCGTTTTTTTCAATAATGTAGTTAATGATTGAGATATAAATAATGTAGTTAATAAGTGACTAGAAGGTTGAAATAAATTTCATCGAGTCACTTTTACAATATAGCAAAAGGAAATAAAAGAACGACACGTTTCACATTAGAGATGATCATTTTTCACTATTTCTTCACTTTGTTAAAGTAATTAATATTTTTATTAATTTAGTGAATGTGGCGACCACTTTTCTTTCGTAAATCATCATTCAACATAAAAAAGTACCTCCACTAAAAAATTGATATTATAAAGTAGTGTTCGGCGACCACTTTTCTTAAAGAAATATTTGAAAATCCCTTTTGCTGTCAAAGCAATAATATGAAGAAAGTGTATTTAAATTACAAAAATAAATAAACGAAAAATGATGACGAGTTTTTCAAACATTTTTCTTTTTTGATCATTATGATAAGTTTGATTACGGGTAGTGATCTTCTAAGCTAACGTGAGATTATGTGGTCTATGATAAGAAAGACACAAAGATTTATTTACCTCTATTTGGTCACCAACGTTAACGACAATAGCGTCCGGAACAATCCGAACTTTATACCATTTATCATCTTTAAGGGCTTGAAGACCTTCAACTTCTTTATCTTGCAAGAGATAAGTCATTGCAGATGCATCTCCATGTGCTTTGGCAGCAAGAACAAGATCAGGCGTAGGACATGGAGGATACAAGTTGAATCTTGCAAGAGCTATTGGATTCTCTCCATACTGTTTTACGAAACAGTCCTCCTCCAAACCCAGTGATTTTGCCATGGCCTTGGACACAATTTCATTAACATTCTCTAATTTGGCTGTAAGATCTAGCAAAATTTGCCTACAAAAAATTTGTCAAGTGTATGTATGTCAAAACTTCTGTCATTGACCTTCTTTTTCTAGCAAAACTCCCTAATAGGATGGCACAATTTTCATTAGAAAAGTTGTAAATTGATTCTTACTTCTAAATTACTTATTTTATTGAACATGAATTCTAAATTTTATTTTTCTCTTTTCTCTTTATAGAATTTAGTTTTCTACAAAGTAAGTGTTAAAGTAATTTCTTACCATTCCTAGAGCATATATGCTTATGCTCACGAAGAATTAAAAGTTATTTTTAAATAACTTTTTATTACCAAATTTATATAATTAGCTGGCTTATGAAAGAATTCTTACACTACTATTCAATTAGTGACTTTAGTTTTAACTTAAATCAAGCTGTGAACATCGATACAAGACTCTCTTACGGCATGTTTGACACGTTAAATAGATGGGACCAAATAGACACATTTACAAAATTTGTGGATTATTTTATGTCTGATCTAGTCGAATATACCAAACAATGTCGAATGAATATTGTATCGAAGTGTCATTGTTATTAGATCAATAATCTTGGAATATTTACCTAAAATTTGTAGGGTGTTCAGGCCACACTTTCATCTTCCTCCTGTTCTCAGGCTTCACATTGAGATACAATCTGTCATTCCAATCAAGTGTTTGGTTCTCAGAGTATACGGTGTCGTTTCCATAGCCATCAATATCATCAACATCTCTTGCATATTTCTTCTTCTCTTCCATCGGAAGTTTGAAAAATTTCCTGGTCACATCATGTACTTCATCAATAAATGAAGTATCTATCCCATGATTTATTGCCTGAAAAACCAAAATTTTGTGTTAGAATTTCAATGAAACATTTAAAAATTAATATCCCGTGCCCAAATCATAAAAAAGAGTAATGTTATCTATCTAATAGTTGTGTTCGAAGGCCATTTAGGTAGTAGCTAAGTAGTCTGTGGACTCCATTGCCACCTAGACTGTTAATGCATGAATACAAGGGACTATTCGATAGTAATTATGAGAATTGATTTTTTGATCGTTAGATGGAAAAGTGAGATCCACCCGTAAGTGAAGAAGTTAAAAACAACTGGAGTAGTGCAATAACTGGTGAAAAATTGGGCTTAGTCCATGTCATATTTTGTGTTACCCACACGAATATAGCCGAGCGACCTAATTGTTACAAAATTTAGTTTACGGAAGCTTACTAACCTGAAAGTAGCCACATGAGCTAAAACCAAGTCTTAGTTTTTTGAGTTCTTCTTCAGCTTCAGGTGTTGAAGAATTCAGAAGACTAAGATCCAGAACTGGAATATCAAGATATGGAAGCCCAGAGGTGGAGCCTCCAAGGCCTTCTTTGCGGATAAATTTCTCCGGCGGTGCACTGGTGTTTATGGCCAGTTCTTCGACTGCTTTGTCAAGTGAAGGGGCGGTGGTGGCGGAAGCGACGGCAGCCATTTCCTTTCTTTCTTAAATGGTGAAAAATGGGTGAGTAATTACAGACAACGAGAGGGCATTAAATAGGTAAAATTAGACTGCATAGTACACCACAAAAAAATGTACCTAATATTATTGTCGCGGAATGAAAGCAAGAGGTTTTTTTATTTTTTATTTATGAAGAATTACAAACTTTAAACTTTTCAATATTTTTAATTCAATGAAATGATGAGTTTGTCAATCAAATATCGAAAAAGTTAAGGGTGCGGTTGATTTTCATTTTCATTTTCAAAACGATTTTTAATTTTCTCCGGAGCGACCCGTTTTTCGCTTTTTGAACGTTTTCGACATTTTTAACTGAAAATGCTAAAAACGATAAAAAGTCGTTTTACGTTTTCAGTTATAAATTTTAACTCGTTTTCGAAAATGACGGACCAAACGCTTTTTCCGCATTTTCAAAAATGGAAAACGAAAAATGGCCCGAAAACGATAAACTAACCGCGGCCTAATTGTTTGAGTTGTACTTGGTGTGAAGGTAAAAGGCTCTCTACCGACACTTGACAATGGGGGTGGGGTTGGGCTTGGCATTTTTATTTTGTGGGGCCACTCCACAAAACCGTAGTTGTTTTCATCAATCAGACATCATGGGTGGGTCATCCACTAATGCATCAAATTGTTGGAGTAACAAAAGCATACATATGTAGTACCATCCGTAAAAATTTATTGATAACTTATGTCATGCCTAGATATAGTATGAACTTATAATAATTTTTAAAGGATGAAAATTAAGAAATGAGTTAATTCAATGCAATCAACAATTTTATTCTTGATAATTAAAGACTCATAATTTTTATACCCTTGATTTTCTTTTCAATTTTAAAGTCCAAACATCAATTTAAATAATTATTACTATAAATTATTAATTAATTAGTCTTCATAAGCTTTTTATTTTTAATTTTTTTTTTCACTAGTTCTTGCTTGTTAATTTATTTATTTCATTGTCAATAATTCATTATTATCGATTTTTCTAGTAATACAACAAGAATCACGTGTGTAAATTTAACATTGAAATATGGGCTTGAAGGTCTCCTTAGATGTGCTGGTGGCCCAATTATTTTTTTTACTTAAGAAAATATTTCAAAATATGTGAAAATTTGATGGTGCAAACCACGTGGACATGCATTAAAGAGGGGTGCTTCTTTCTCTATACAAAGGGAAATTTGAACTTCTTAGTTTTCTTCCAAGTATCAAATCCTTTCAAAGTTTCTAATGAATTCCATAGTTCGTTGATCTAGATGTCTCTAATTTGATAATGACAAGGGTGTTGTACAAATGATTCACTACATTCTATTAAGTTTAAGTAGAAATTAGATAGATGCTATACTTATCTGCGTATAATGACGAGAAGTATGACTAGAATAAATGAAATGTAATTTTCTTTAGTTTTAACATTATACTTCATATGTTCGAACATGATAAATTATTGCACAATTTACGGGAGGTAAGACCAAACCCCCTTCTAAATTTGTATTAATTTTAATTGCTAATTAATAAAAATTATCACTTATAGTAGTTCAATTTTTTTTTTTTAAAGGTAAATATTAAGTTGTCAACTTCACCAACAATCGGATGGTACTCTCATAACATATTGTCATTAGAATAATAAACTTAGTAGTCGACTGAAGAAATGATTCGTACATAAGAATAAGCACGAAGTTTGGACTTCTTGCTTTGCCTCAATTAAATGTCGTCCTAGAAAATTTTACATGAAGACTAGTGACGTGTAATAATTAGAGTTTGAGTAGATACAAAATAAGGCTAAAAATTTCAATGGACTGTGAATTACTAGATGTAAAATACGTCACAACTTAATTTTATTTTTCAAAAAAAAAATGATAAAAATATTGTTATTGATATATCTCATAGTCTTGACTTTGAATGTTTGGCCACCTAACCCCAAGAATTTCTTGAAGTTTTTGGCCTATACAAAACCGAAACATGTTAATTTTCTTTCAATTTTCCAATATATTATATTCAAAGCTAATAATAGCATCTCAAGATAAATACTCAATGATCTCATCATTCCAATATAGCAATAGGAGTTAATTATATATATATACATATATATATATATATATATGGTCCATTTAATGGTGTACAGTTCAGCATATAATAATTATAATTAATTATAATCTGTGGAGATAAGCTCTCTCCAGATTTCATTATTTATTATAGTACTTTAAAAGTGAATTATGCACCACCTTTTATTCATATTCCACCGACCTATTCGACAATGGAAAAAATACAGTTCTCAATTTCATTTCGTTTTATATATGCAACTTGTTCTCACCTACCCTAAATAAAGAAATAAAAAAATAAAACGAAAAAGGAAAAGGTAAAGGGAAGAAAAAATTCTCCCAATAGATTAACCTCCAGGACATTTGTTTAAGTTTTCAAAAATACTGTAAGCAATGAGAATGATCGTTTTTTAATTTTTATTTAAAATTTCATAAAGCAGTTATGCAGCTGAACGTAAAACTCACTATAATCCACCAACTAAAACTCACTATTAATCCAATTTTTAATTGAAATTTGTTATAAGATTTAATCTAATGCTCACCAAAAAATTATTGTGCAAAATAATATAGAATTGGTTGGTGAGATAAAGTCAAAGTTGATGGCTAATTTATAAAAAATCAATGGAAGGATCAGAAAGTTAGATATGAAAAATCTGAATTATTTTTGGTCACTTTGTGATTTCATAAGAATCTTTGGTCTACCATATAATTCATCTATAAAGTAAACCAATAATAATTTGCAAAATATTGTGTGGGTCCAATTTACGATCACACTTGGGGACAAAAGGTCAAGTTTGCGGTAGGTTTCAGTTTTATTTTATGATATAAGTTTTTCTAATTTAAAAGTAGGACACGAGGTTTCATTTTATTATTATTGATAATAGGAATGAGACTCTAAATTTGTTTATGTAGACTATGAAAGGTGATGAAGATTTAAAAAAATATATATATCAATTTTAGAAGTTTAGATAAATAATTTTGTAAATTCAGTTAAGTAGTAGAAAACATCCCTTATATTGTTTAAATTGAGAAAAATAAAAAAAGCGTGTTGATAGATTGTTTATATTTTTTTATCCGAGTTGAATCAAGTACTACATAACCTATGAAAGTTATAGTCCGAAGGATAACAATTTTCTTACTTGTGTTTTTCTCATCTGAAATGTTATAACTTATTTTTCATATTTTGTTTAAAAATTAAAACGACAATTTTATCTATTTATTTATTTTTTATTTTTTTTGTCTCTTGATTTAAGAAAATTTCTTTAATTTCTATTTTTTACACTAGTGACGTTTATAATATGATAAAATTATTATTAAGTGAGTGTTTCGTGAGGATTAAAATTAAATTTTTTAATAAATTGTGATAGAATTTTTTGAAATATATGGTTGAAAAGTTGTGGAACATATGAAAGATATGGTTAATATTGATTGTTTAACTTTAACTTAAATTAAAATCAGATTTTAGTTCAAATCAAACATACTCTAAAACTAAGGCGCTCTTACTTTAGTACCAAAAAACTTACTGTTCAAATTGCATTTAAAGCATGTTTGATAGTCCATTATTTTTCATAAAAAAAATGGAATTCAAATTCCAACTTTCACTTTTTGATTGTTTGATAGCATAGTTTTTCCAGGTAATTGGGTATCTTGCAACATGGACATTTTCTTGGTTTTCAAGGAATATTGTGGGAATTGGTTTTCTAGACTATGCTGCTGATTTTTTTTATTATTTTTTTTGGGTAATGAAAATAAATTATATCCCTAATTATAAAAAAATATTTTCCTTTAATCGACAATTTTTATGTAAAATAAAGCAAAACGAACACCAAAAGATAAATGATTTTTTTTTTTTTTGCCAATGGAAGCAAATTCTATCCCCAATTTCCCTAAATTCTATCCCTTTAATTAACAATTTTCATGTAAAATAAAGCCAAACGAATATAAAAAAAACTTTTATTTCAAAAAAATTTCACGTGAAAAATTATACCAATCAAACACAATAATTGACAATTCTTAGTAAAATAATTTTTAGGCAATTTAATTCCCTGAAATTCATTTTCTTTCCACCTAAATTCTATCTTCGCAATCAAACGGATCCTTAGTTATTTCTTTCTTCTACTTTTTAAACTCAAAATAAGAAATCATTTTTTCCCCATTTCTAAGTTAAGTTCGAAAGAAATATTATTGAGATGCAATCACTTTGATCCAGATGAGAAAAAAGAACTAATTTCATTTTAAGCTAAAAAAATATTGTAATTTAAATAAAAATAGGATAGAAGAACATCACGTTACTATATTCCTAAAAACTTGCTATTTTATTATAAAGAAGTTTTTGTTTCTAGAAGCCATTTTAATCTTTGTGCTTGATTTTTTCACTTCACATTTTTAGTCAAAAATTGATCGATCCAATCCGAATCTTATCATTTGAAATTTATATTCATATGTATTTTATTATCTTTGCCATCTAACCATCTCTCACTTTACTTTCTCAATTTGATACATATGTTAGAAAATAATGTTTGCTCAAAGAGGAATGGAGAAGAAATAAAGAATAAAATATGAAAATGAAGGTCCGAACGCATAATCGTTGTCCTCAAAATAAAATACTTAAACACTTTGTATAATTCCTCTAAAACTTGAGAATGCAAAGTGGGGTTTGAATATGAAAAGAAAATGGATTTTCAACACTTCGGAATGAAGAAAAATGATCTCAAATGTGGCTATATGATAAAAATCACCATAAATTCAAACAAATAGTCATTAACAGCTAATAGAACCTTCTATGTAGTCGCATAGAACAAATCTACGTGACTGCATAGTTCATTACACGATATGACCTATACGCCTATGCGACCACAGCCTATTTTGGCCTACGTGACCTGGCCTCCAAAATGGGTATTTCATTCCACACACATTTTATTGATTTTGAATAATATACAAAAATTTTCCACTTGTTTAACATTCAATAAGATCTCATATTCAAAATATGCAATATTCATTC